AGTCTTTTCTTTGGCGATGTTCAATGCAACTGACGGCGTGAGGCATAGTCGTACAGTCCCTAGGGCTTTGCGATCCAAAACATCCCACTTTGCTTGTTCCATATCCGTTGGCTTCGTCCCATCGATAGGTTGATACAGATCCTTCTGATACAGAATATCCTCTATCTGCATCTTCCAAAACTCGTAGTTTGTGCCATTGAATTTTTCGATCTTGACTTTATCTTCTGTCATTGTGTAAACCCTTGACCTCTTAACCCAGAGCTCTGATACCAATTGTTGGGATTTAATACGATTTAAACCCATAAATAAACACACAATCGAAGAACAAACCAAAATATAAAGCAATAAGAAACAAGAAAAAATAAGACACAAAGATTTTACGTGGTTCGGCAATTTACCTACGTCCACGAAGCTGCAGGGTTTTCACTATTGAAAGAGAGGATTACAGAGAACGGCTATACATCGATAAAACCCTAATCATCAAAGTAATAGTTTTTTATATGTCCTACGTACCAGGCTACAAAACAGGCCTAAAAATTTTTCCTCGGAATCGTTGCCCCTGAACCCCCACGAGGCTTATCCATGAACGCTACGTCCAAGCCTTCGCTCCATAAACCAAGCCTCAAAAAATTTTTCATTAAAAATCACGCAACATTACTTCGAGTCGGGTCATCATCCGAATCAACATACAAATTAAACTCTACAAAGGCCCAACAGAGATGAAGAGGATTAACGTCACGCTAAACATTCACCTTCAGGATGTTGGTGACTCCATTAAGAGGAAAGAAGCTGAACTGAAGGCAAAAGTGGGAGAGCTAAAAACCAGAGCTCGGGAGGATTGTGGACCTCCTTGAGGCGAATGCTTATGCCTTCGTGCCGGGATTCATAAACTTTCAAGAATAGATCGAGAGGTCATATCCTAACTTAGACTTGGAGTCCTTTATGCCGGAGTTGGTGGCATTAAAGCTTAAGGAGCCCGTAGAGGAATCTAGCGCCGAGCAGACTGAAGAGCCTACTCCATACTTTTTGTTCATAGGTTTTGGGATTTCATGGTCATCTGTAATCTAATATTCATAGTTTGGGTTTGTAACAAAATTTGTGTAACTTCAACTTCAGTTCCTGTTTTTAATGCCTCTTTTCTATTGTTTTTTTCATTCTGGATGACTTTTGTGTACTTACCTATTTTTTTCCTCTCTTTTTCCCCCTTTTTTTTTGTTGCACCCTTCTTGGCTCTTCATCTTGGAGGGAGGAGAGCGATAAACTTTGTTCTTTCATTTGCAGCAATGGGAAACCCCCCCTGGGGAACTAGCTAGTTGATCAATATCTTGCCCGTGGTTGAGCTGCTTGGCAAGCCTACCTAGTCCCGACCTGGTCGAGTTGCTCTTTTGAAGGGCTCATCCTTACGAGCCCATACGTTTCATCGTCTAACGGGGTTTGTCTCGTGAAGGATCCGAAGAACTTCTTTCTTTAAAGCTCGAGCTGAGCATTCGTACCCGAACTGTTCAGGATCATTAGGGTCATTTTAGACCTTTTATCTTGTCTTTTCATGTCCTCCAAGTTTGACAATTTTCTTTAGTTGAGGCTATATGCCTTTGATGATGAAAGTGCCTCAAAAGTTACACCCATTCCCCACGTTTTGTGAGACGCATTTAATGTGATGAACATGCATTTATTACGCCTTCTGGAGGGACTTTTATCGCCAAAACTCCCTTTAAATATTGTGCACCTTCTTTGTAGGCATTCACCACTTTGCTTGAGTATTCTCTACTTCATTCTCTAGCAAATTTCCATTCCGATTTTTTGGACCCTTCTCTTGAGTTCTCACTATGTCTCAGCTTTCTGCTTTCGGGTATGACACCCTACAAGAAACCTTCCCTAAAGGCTAGCGAGATTGATGCAGCAGATGCCCACGCATTGTCAAGCCGTTATGATTTTTGTGTCGGGGTATCGGTTCACACTGCGGGCAATGATCCTTACCACTGGTCTTTGGGGTATAGGGTTTGCTTTCTCGAGGTCCCCTTCCAACGGGGCCTCAGGTTTCCCCTTCCTCCCTTTGTAAGGAAAGTTCTTCATTTCTTTAGTTTTTGTCTTGTCATGCCATTGCCGGTGGGTTAGGCTATTCTTTTGGTGTTCCCGGTCCTATGGGTGCGTCTGTTCTGGTGGTCGCGAGTTTTTCTAGTGGAGTTTTTTACTTTTTTTTTGTCCTGTGGAGTTGTCTGGTCTTTGCTACTTCGTAGGGAGAAGAGAAGGGAAAATTTCTATCTCCAACCTCCCTCCTTCCTGTGCTTGAAGGTTGGAGGCAAAGGTTTTTCTGTGTCTGGAATGGGTTGAGAGTTTACTTCCAAGGTTATCTCTTCAGTTCGCATTCCCACGGTCTAGGGGCGTGGTGCTCATCTTGATGAGTTCCCCCTTCTTGGTGAGTTTTCTTCTACTGAGTTGCCCATCATTTGCATCTATGGTTTTAACTTTGTCTTTCATTCTCAGATGAGTATCCGAGCTTAACCAGAGAAGCACGAGCTCGGATCAATCAAGCTCGGGCTTGTGGGCCCGTCTCTTATACCGAGCTGATGGGACCCGAGCCACCTGGTATCCCGAGTAGTAAGTGCCTAATTTTTTTTCAAAGTTTGGTTACCTTGCCTTTTGTGATGCCTTTCTGATTTGCTCACTCAATTGTCTTATTTTCTCAGCCCCCAAGTATCTGGTCAGCAAAAGGGATGCGATTGTGGGGCAAATGGCCCAAAAGAGGTTAACACAGGGCCCCGAGCCTCCTTTTAAAAGGGCAATGGTTGCTGAGGATCGTCCCGCGCCGAGCCCTTAATTTCGAATCTTGACCTTGCCCACTGCTGGAGCTGTCACCGCCGGAGTCGTGTCCATTAATCCCGATATGGGCCTAGTGCGACATGGTCCTTTCTCCAGGGGTGTGGAAGGATCCAGCTTAAGGCGTCCCAATACGATTGTGGTTGAAAGTTCCAGCGGGAGCTTGTTGGACGATGTGGCCAGAGCTAGTCGAGCTTTTATAGAGCTAATTCCTCAAGCCGACCTCCGTCGCTCCGTCGACCTCCCCTTCAGGGCCAGGACCCAAGATTCTTTGCATGCTCTTCTTAAGGTTTGACGTGTTGCTTTGTCTGTTCAGACTTTAGCCTTGCAAGCACTTACCCTTTTAACTTGCTTTTAGGTTACAACTCACGTTAGACAGGGAGATTCGCCATCTAAAGGTGGCGGCGGAAAGGAGAGGCAAGATTGGTTGAGTTGCTATGTTGGGGCAGAGTTGGAGGCGGAGTTGGAAATAACCCTCGAGCAAAGAGCCCAGGTCTTCTGGCAGTTAATTGTCGCCACCACTTCGGAGATCTCCTTGCAAGGTCAGTTGAGCAAGGGGGAGGATGAGCTGGTGAACACACAAGTCGAGAACATGGAGCTAATGGCCCAGTTGGTCCTGTCCCGCACAATTATTGCTAACCTAGAGGACTCGTTAACTGCAAAGCGACGACGGGTGGAGAAGTAGAAGCGGTAGATAGAGAAATCAAAAAGAGAAGCGGTCAAAGTCTTTATGGATGGGTTCTTCAACTTTGAGGAGCAAGCCATCGAGAAGTTCCCCAATCTCGACTTTGACAAGTTTGAGCCTCAATTCAACCCTCCTCTTGAAGGTTTCCCCGGTGGTGGTGATGCAGATCCGACTACCTTGAAGCTTTGAGGACCTCTGCTCCTACATGCTCCTTCTTCCTCTCTTTTGTTATTGAAATGTATGCAAATTTGAAATGTATGTAAATATCCTTTTTTTTAATGGAACGAGACATACTCTTTTAGCTTCTTTTGGATTTTGCATATCTCCCTTATCCTCCCCGCTTCAAAGAGGTCTTGACCTAGTTGGAGTATGATTTTCGTCGATCATGCCAAATTTGTGGGTTGAGTTCCAAGACTTTATCTTATTACTTGATGTGGAGGGTCCAACCTCCACATCTTTCTCGAACTCATTAAGTGCACATCTCCCTTGCCCCGTTGCTCCAAGCTGGTGGATTCGAGCTAATAGCTCCCTAAGCTGGAGGGCTGAGCTCTTCGTGATTTCAAATCTTGATAGGGGCAACCAATTCATACGATTTTGGAAAAAAGGTGGTTAAATGCGCCTACCTATGTGCCGACCTAACTCCGCCTTGAGCACCTTGCATTAACTCTTGTCATAAAACCGTTTTCTTGAAGAAGCCTAATCGTCACCCTTTTGCCTCCATAAATTAGCTACTTCGTTGTTCAAACTGTCTTTCACTTTCGAGCATTTATCTCATCTGGGTGTTTTTCTTGGTTAGTATTCTTCTTGCTTCTTCATGCTTTCTCAGCCTCTTCTTTGTTCAGACAGCATGCTTCTATTCTCATAGATGACTCTTGATATGTCGTTTTTATGTTTCTCAGCTTTGTGACAGCGGCTGAGGCAGAGAAAATTAGAAGGCGATACCATTTTCCAGTGGGTGTGGCTGTTCTATGCCCTACTTCCGATGAGCCTTGCAAACTTCTTCTTCAAAGGAATGTTTGCTTTTTTAAGGGTGCGTTTAAGATGGGGCTCCGTCTGCCCATTCACCGGTCGATCAGGCAGATGCTAGCATTTTTTGGGCTCCCCCCCTTACAGCTTTCACTAGAAGGGTAGGGAACCCTTGTGAGTTTCTTTGTCTTCTGGTGTATGCATGGACATGATCATTTCCCCTCTGTTTCTGAGTTCTTTTATTTCTTTCGCTTTGACAATGACTTTCCTCCCTGCTATTACCAATTCACATGGAGGTTCCAAGTCCGGATGCTGGTCCTCAACATCCCTGGCTCCCTCAAGGGGTGATCACAGCGGTTTTTCTTTGTTTTCGGGGATGCCTGGGAATTTGGCGAGGCACACAGACCGTCACCATGTGCCTCGCTCTTGGGGACGCATTCCGAGTAGAGTAAGGAGTTAGCCTTCTTTTTCGAGTAGAAAGCACACCTTCGTGTTGTATCTCTTTTTCTTGACACTAGTGGCTTTTGTGTTGATGCAGGTGATCCTAGGCTGACTCTTGATGAGATTGCAAGGGTCTACCACCTTAGCCGAGTTGAGGCAGTTCCCTTTTCCACACTGGTCACAGTTTAGAACCTTTTCAGGTTTTGGCTTGGCCTCGACTCGGCTGTCATCTCAGCCATCGTCCCTACTGCTGTTCCAATTGTCCTTCCTCCTACTGTTGTCGAGGATCTTCCTTCTAAGGGTTTCGAAGAAGACACTGCTACTTTCTTAAGGAGGAGGAGGAAGAGATCACAGGAGTCTTTCCCTTCTCCTTCCTCGGACACCTCGTCTAGGAGAAGAGATTTACAATCGCTGAGTTGGAGATGGCGTTCGAGCTGGCCATGTTGAGGAGGCAGCTCTTCAAGGCCGAGAAAGAGAGGGACGAGCTGAAAGAGGAGAATGCTTTGCTGAAAGGAGAGATCACGACACTGAAGAGGGGGAATCTAGGATCTTGAACATTTTTTTGTGCTTCTTGTAATCCTCTTTTGGCGTTTGTTAATGTAACATGGCTCTTTTGTTCTGTTGTTTTTGTTTTGTCACTGCGATCTCTGGAGCTTCAGTGCTCTTTGGCTGAGGAATTGGTGGAGTTGATGAACTCCTTGAAAAATTCAGAAGGTTGAAGTGTCCATAATCGACCAAGTTGAAAAGCTCTCAGGCTGAGAAGTCTAGTCGAGGTCACGCGGCTAAAGCGCTCACGCCTTTGAGAGTTGAAGAACTCTTTGAAGGCTGATGAGCCTGTGATCAATTGAGCTGAAAGTTGTTAGGCTAAAAAGCCTAGTCGAGGTCGCGCGGCTAAAGAGCTCGCGCATTTGAGAGTTGAAGAACTCTTTGAAGGCTGAAGAGCCTATGATGGACTGAGCTGAAAAGCTCTTTAGCTGAGAAGCCTAGTCGAGGTCGTGCGGCTGAAAACTCCCCACTGGACCCTCCCTGAGTATTGATTCCAGTTGTAGAAAAGAAATCAGCCTTTATGCCAGTAGAGCTAGCACCTTAGTGATCTTAAATAACTGCCAACAACAAATTCCGCAATCTATTGATCACGTGATTGCATCGACAAGGAGCACTAGGGATCTGTACCTACTTTCAGTGAAGGTTTTCTTTTGACAAGATGAGGGCTCTACTATTGGAAAAAAAATACCAACAGAAAATTTCAAAGTCTGATGACATTATTGCTGCTCCAAGAATCATTAGAGTTATTCCCTATTTGATCCAACTATTGTTTGGAACCAATTTTTTTTATGATATTCTAAATTGTATGCTATTTGGTTATACTAATGTTATTGTTCAAATTGGTGGGGGTGTAACTTAAATGTTTGTACTTCAACATGCCTCCTCACGTGCTGGCTAAAATTTGGGCTTAGCACGTGAAAATATTTTTAATAATTAGGATGACGGGGAGATTCGAACACTGGACCTTCTACTTTGATACCATATTGAACAACTATCTACTCCAAAAGCTTAAGCAGTTGGAGAGGGTGTAACTTAAAGTATATATACTTCAACATATGACAATTAGCTTTTGAGTAGAAGTTCATAATGAAACTCTGCTCCATGGACAACTTAGTTGGCAAAAAAATCTCTCCTGTATGCACGGCTGCTTGTGACTGGATGTTTGTGTTTGTTCATATGTGTGAAGATTATTGGTTAAAGTTATGGTTATAGCCCATTTACTTGCTGCGATGGCTCCCCACCAGCTGTGCTCAAGGAGCCAACTCAGTTTGCTTCCATGGACACCCAGAAGAAATGATTTCTCTAGCTTGTTCTATCATGCTTCATTTGCAAAATGTTGCCTTTTCATTCCAGATGAAGTCATTTACCTTGATGGCTTTTCCAAACCTACTTGCAAATCCGTGTAATTTTCTCCCACAAATTTTCTGATAATATTTTTCTGTTGGTTTACCAACACAGGCAGTTTATGAGCTTTTTTGCCATTTGCTTGATTATCTCAAAACTCAGATTCTCTATCCTCTTACAAAATAGATCATGTATGCGTGTAAACTATGTTTTCATTGTAGATGTTAATGTTACAGTCTTTTCCCCTTGACAGAGTTCAGATGTTCAGAGAATTTGTCAACATGGACAAAGTATCTCGTAGAACTGCTGGTGAAGTGGTTGGACCTGGTTCAAGATCAGTTGAGATAGTGATTCGTCGTGGTCATATTGTTGAAGATGGATTTCAACAATTAAACTCCCTTGGGTCAAGGCTAAAGTCCAGTATTCATGTTTCATTTATTAGTGAATCTGGCCTTCCAGAGGCTGGCCTGGACTATGGTGGATTATCTAAGGAGTTTTTGACTGATATAGCAAAAGCAGCCTTTTCCCCTGAGTAAGTTTTCATGGTACTTATGGTGCCTTCTATATTTTTCTCTGATTACAGTTTCAAATGACAGAATTTCATTTGATCTTTTGTATTATTTTCTAAGGTATGGGCTGTTCTCCCAGACCTCCACTTCAGACAGACTTCTAACCCCTAATACAGATGCAAGATTTCTAGAGAATGGCATACAGATGATTGAGTTTCTTGGACGAATCGTTGGCAAAGCATTTTATGAGGGCATATTACTAGATTATTCGTTTTCGCATGTTTTTGTGCAAAAGATGTTAGGTCGCTATAGCTTTCTTGGTGAACTATCAACACTCGATCCTGAGCTCTACAGGAATCTTCTGTATGTAAAGGTAATCCCTCATGACAATATAAGAAATTCAGAGTAAAGGAAACAATATTAAATTCAGTATGTTTGATTGTTTTTATTTTTTCATTAAATATTTTCGGGGTTGGGGATGTTGGGGTAAGGGTCTTGTAATTTTCTTGGTTGTCTAGCCCTTGCTTATGCATTTGTTTAAATGTGTAAGATGAAATAAAGGGCATTTCCTAATGGGAATGGCCAGTACTCTTTACTTTTTTCATCCATAGTGAGGTAGGGTGGAGGGGAGCTCTACATCTATAATAATAAAACAGAACGTCCTGCTTAAGCTGCCTAAGCTCTTCACTTAGAAAAGCATAACAATGACCCAAATCATTTAAATCCGACGGTTTTATATTAAGATTTAATATTTTAACTTTTTAACCACAATAACTCATTTAAATTTTAATTTTTTAACTACAGTAACTCATTTAAATTGTAACCATTTAACTATAGTAACTTAAATTTTAACCCTTCGAACTACAGTAATTCATTTAACTTTTAACCATTTAACCATAATAACTCAACCCATGTATTAGAAAAACACGCTTTTCACGGGCACACACTAGTTCATTATATGAAGGGCTTAAATTGCCATCCTGAATAAAGTTAAATTGCACCTTGTAACTCGTGCAGCCATTTATACAGTTCTGGGACTTGTATGCATACTTACAAATTTTTTTTAAAAATTCAGTACAATTTTGGACCTGCAATAGTATTGACTATTTAATCAACATTCTCGAGTGCACTATCAGTTTCTAGTAAAGTCTTAACTTTCAAGGAACCAATTTGAAAAGTAAAACTTCAGTGACATAAATAGTGACAAAAAAAAAAAGTTATCTTCTTTAGACTTAATTGATTTCCTCATTATATTGTTGTTTGGACACTTACGCACGGTAAACTAAATTGTGTAAGGAATTTTATAAATCAAGTTTCAGAGAAAAGTTCTAGAGAGAAAATTTTGGTTGATAATTCCTCTCTTTTTTGAAAAAAAAGAATGGACCTCGTGGTGAATTTGAGGTTGCTGAAAATGTTGTCTAGATGTGCAACTTTACATTTATTAGCAAAAGGATATGTGCAAGTTCTTCTCTATATTTTTGCTGTTCAATAGGGTTGTATCATATTGTGCAATCTGATTCCACTTTTGAAGAATTTCAGGCTATCTCAAAATTGATGGATTGTTTTCGCCAATCAATGAATCAGATGCATGTGGTCTGCAAGGGCCAGGCAGGTCTCTGAAATATTTAATGACTCAGAATAAGAAAAAGACGAGTTCCACGTTGTAGTTATATTTATGTAATTGGGAACATACAAAAAGTAATGGTGGTTAGCTGGAGATGCCTGCGAGTAAAACAATACATTTTTACAGTGCTACTGGAGTATCTAAGGTTTTGCTTTGGTTTTATATGTCTGTGCATTCGTACTGTATGAGTGAATGTCTTTTTATTAGCAAAATGTATTCCGGTAAGGTGACAGTGTGTGGGGCTTTTGTTGCAGTTAACAGCTAGAAAATCTTGCAGTATCCATTTCCTATATCATGGCATGAATTTTTTTCCTTGTAGAAGGAAAGTTTGATGAGGATGCGCCTATTGGGGTGGCTAACATAATAATTTATCGTTTTGCTTTCATATGTCAGTTGTATCTATTAGGGATATGATAAGAGGATCGATGAGAATTGGGGATATGATGATAGCATCCATTGCAAAGAGTGTTTTTTCCTGTTAAATAAATCATGACTAATAGTTCCATCCCTAAATGTTTCCTTGAGTTGTGCAGTAGTAGTCCTAAGGTTTCCATTTTGGTAATTGGCACTTAAACTTTCAGTCTTGAAATAATGGAGTCTAAAAAATGACATCTGTCATGAATATGGACACAAATTCATCACGTGTCACTCATGCGACCAAATTCTGTCCACATTCACACCATCACTCATTGATTGGACTTATAAAGCTCAATGTTGACAATTTAAGGACCAAATTATTTAAATTTGAACATATGGGCCTGAAGCACCAATAGAAAGGTGAACTTTTGGATGAAAATCATAATCAACCCTAAATTATGACCTTCATTGCCTTCTGGTTCCAGGAATGAGGCAGAAAAGATGTTGCAAGATGTAGCCAAGGAGATTTAAGAAAGAGCTCTGCGGCTATCAAGTAATAATAATGGTGCAATAATGAGATTGTTTGCTCAGGTCCATGTATCTGAGGATGCGTGTTAACCTCTTTGATTATGCTATTTGTGCTATGACTGGGAGACAAGCAAACATTGTAGGATTCATGAGGCAAGATATAGAAGATTGAAAATGTTACATAAATCTTAAGGCGACCTGAAAAATTTCGATGGGTGAATGGGCTGTTTGTTTGATTCAGTTTTGCATTTTGATTCATCTGTTTAACCCATTGGCTTTTGTAATTAACTATTTGTAGGGTGAAGTTATGTTCATAGTAATAGATCAACTCGTGTATGTGGATGCAATAGTATCTGACATTGGACATGTATTGTTTATGCAGCATTATGAGGGTGATGTCAAGGAACTCTCTCTGGATTTCACAGTTACTGAAGAATCATTTGGGCAACATCATGTTGTCGAGCTTAAACCTGGTGGCAAGGATGTTTGTGTGACAGACGAAAACAAGTTGCAATACATTCATCTGATTGCAGATTATAAACTTAATCGTCAGGTATTCAATTGATTGTTTCAATGGGACTAATTTAATTGAGGAAATTACAGACACTTATTCACTTGTTGAAGGAAATTTATATTGTCTCCAGCATTGAATTGCAGATACTGCCATTCTCAAATGCATTCTACAGAGGCCTGACTGATCTTATATCCCCATCATGGTTAAAGTTATTTAATGCAAGTGAATTTAATCAGGTACCGTTCCTTTTTATGGTCATTGACTAAAAGTTATTTTCGTAATTGCATGTAGCTGTTGGGTATCTTTGCATGCATTGATGCATTCACTTGTTCTTGTTAATAATGGTCACCATAATTATGTAAGGCTTAAAGCATTGTGTTAATTTTTGCAATTAGCAGGACTTCATCATTGTCTCTCCTCAAGTCTTATTGTTCACTGACTAGTTAGCGAGAATTCAGTGGATTTTCTTGGCAGAGATGAACATGTGCAAATTTTCTTGTTATGAATGGACATTGTTAAAGTCTCCATTAAAAGGAGAATTTGTATTTTTTAGCAATGAAGCCAAAGCTCTTATTTTCGGTTTGGAGCCTGTTCAAGGCAGCCAAACTATTCAAAATCTTCTGCACAGGCAAGAAAAGAATTGTAAATTGAGTACAAAAGTTTAAATGAGATGATGTCTTTGAAGTTTAATGTCAGAACTCCACGATCAATTTCCCCGGTGTGCATTTGGACTATGCCTGTATACTGAAAATCGACCTGTTTTTTATACAAAACAACTTGGAGGCTGTTTTCTACAAACCACCAGTGATTTTTATGTCTTGGAATCCATTTGTGGATGTGGGCAGAAGGTGAGTGGGTGTTGGGGTGAGGGAAGGATTTGGTGGGCTCATGGATGATAGCAAACACTGCAAGGTTTTGAGGAAAATGATTTCGTGCAAGTAATGCCAAAGGTTGGTTCTATACTCAATCTAACCCTCCTAGCATTCTCTACTCATAGAAACTAGATTGGGTAATGACCTTTCCAGGGTCATGGAAGTCTTCACCCAAAGGATGTTTTCCGGTGTAAGTAAGGTGCTTATGGTGGCAATTCTCATGTCCTCTTCTTTTAACTGAGAGATTACTCTCGTCGATCACTGTGCCTCCCAAGGTTGCTTATTTTGTGATTGTTTGGCTTGGGAAAAGAGTTTATCCTTGGCAATTTTGGGAAAATATGCGTACTTTTTGTTACATATCTGAAGGTGAGAATGAAATTGTCAATAGTCATCTCTTGACCATAACCATATTGAGGGAGCTTTGCGTGATTCCCAGATTTGTATTGGAATTTTCAGAGTGTTGGAGGAGGGGTTATGCGGAAAAAGGTGGTTGTAGGTTTGGATAGAGGCCTCTTATGCTTTTAGTGGTGTGCATTTGCAATAAAGTATGACAACAACATTCAAAGGAGTCCAAACATTGCCTTTGGAGTTGGAAAGTTCTTTTTCAACGTCCCATCATCGTTGTTCATTTGAAAGACCTGTCAAAGAAAGTAAAAATCTATATCAAAGAGGCTAGTTTTAGATATCCCATATTTGTTTTCAAAAATGCTACATCCACCTAAAGGTTTACCAAATTTGGGATCCGAAATCATTGTAAATCATAGGATCAGTAGGGCCCATAAATTTTCACTAACTATCCAATGGCTAACAATGTGCAACGTCATTAGGGATCTTAAATTTGGTAAATAATTTGGTGAATACAACATTTCTCATTTGTTTTTAGTAGTAATATGGTATTTTATTTACATTCTTTATATGTACACTTTTAATTTGCATAGTGAATGTGGCATCTATCTGAATTGGGTAGTCAAGTTTTGTGTGAGTTTGGATTGCTATTATTAGGATATATTTGGTTCAGATTTGGAATTGGAGTTTTGTGCCATAGTGCATAGACTCTGATGGCAGTCTTTAACAGGATACAATGGCGAAAATATTGTGATTTTCTTTTTTCTGAATTTCCTTGCTTTCTTAGTTTCTCTTTTGACGGGTGTTTATATGTTGCATGTGGCCATAGTATTTTCTTGTAGATTTTGTGTGTTTGATTTACCTTGGTTATTTACTGCTAACCGTAATTTCTATATTCAGTTGCTTTCAGGCGGAAACCATGACATTGACGTTGGTGATTTAAGAAATAATGCGCGGTACACTGGTGGTTATACTGAAGGGAGTAGGGCCGTAAAAATCTTTTGGGAGGTATTCATCTCAAAATAGCTATTGGATTATTTAATTGTACTTATGGTTTGTTCTGTATATTCTTTTTTCTTTATGGAAGCCAATGATATAGTTCAACTATCCTGCTACCCATATGGTCTATATTACTCAAGTTTCATTTGTCTGCATCACACTCCACATGCATCTGACGCTAGTTTTCTCTTTTTACCCAATGCACTCAATTTTTGTACAAGTAACCTAATTCAAGGAGACTTGGGTAACCAGAATCTTATCCATGTCACCTTTGCTCATTAGATATGATGTGTTTTCTGTCATGTTGATTGAAAAAAGGACTCAAATTTAATCGATAAGGAGGTTTTATAAGGAAGCATGTGATTTTTAATGCTTTATTAATACTCACTGACGTTAATGACAATGACAAAGCAGTAATTGCTTGGTTAGAAAAGTACAGTCCAGTACTGAAACCTAAAGCTAACTTGATGAGTCCAAGCAACCAAAAATACCTTCTGGTCCCAAGGAAAATGTACTTGATAGCTAATAAAGTCTGGTTTATTCATGTGCTACTGATTTTTTGGTGTTAATGGTATCTTGATTATTTTTTCATTTGCTATATATGGCCCTACATTTGTGGTGCATGGGGCAAAAGTATGGTCAAGTTGTGTTTTATTTTGTGTCCTACGTAGTTGAGAATCGTCTAGGATGGTAATAGTCTAATAGTCGTCAATTTAAATTTCTTATTTTGGAGTCCTAATCCTTCTTTTTGTAGTAGTGGTAACTGGTATGAACAGTGACCAAACCCTTGCTCTTTCTCGCCAACAAGGATCAAAATTTTTTTTTGTGCATTGCTTCGGTCACCTAAGAAACGGAAACACTACGACTTATTTTAGATACGGAACGAAAAAAATAAAAAATTTAAGAATTATTTTTTCAAAATATTAGTTGAAATATATCAAAGTATCTTCAAATATTTTGAAATATTCCAAAATAATTGTGTAAAATACATTGAAACATTACAAAACACCTCAAAACATTATAAAACACCTCGAAATATTAGAATTTTGATTTCATCACTGAGTCATTTCGGTCTCATTCAAAACGGAAATAAAAACATTTCAAACATTTCGAAATGAATTTTTGATACTTGCTTGGCAACATTCAAGTTCAAACCCTCTCACTTGCTTACACCTTATCATAGCCCAATATTTTACCAACTCTTTCTGCCACAAACAAACCATAACGTATTCTAAAAGAAACTTTTTCTTCTGCTACCCATATCAGATTTGCCAGTCTTTTAGGAGGAAGGTGTTTCTGCAATCGTCCTACGTAGTTGAGGCATATCACCTTCTGTCTGCTGTGGACTCTAGCAAAATAGATCTTCTTGCTTCCCAAACCTTCAATTGATATACCACAAGGACAGATCAAAATTTAATTTCGGTTTATAGTGTCAGTCAACTTGAAAATGTATAGGAATGATTCGGAAACTGAATGGAAACTTGGGAAAATTTTGTAATTATTATTGCGAAGCATTGTAACTCCAACTCCGAAACATCCCAAATATTCTAAAACATGGAAATTTTGAGTTCGAAAGAGGTTGAATTTTGATCACTGGACTCATGCATGTGACAAAAGTTACATCTGAGGGTGGCACTTAAGCAATTTCTACCACTTCCATGTATACCCCGTCCTCTAAAAAAAAAGAAATAAAAAAGGGAATTTTTGGATGTTCTTTTGACATGTTTTTGCTGCATTTTGGCTTTACCCTACCCCTAGTTGTGATCATAGTCAAGGTTGTCAAAACCAATGTTATCTAAATCGTGGGTCGTTTTTGGTACATAGTATGGTTATGGGTACGTGGTACGATACTTTCTTAGGTACGCGGTACGATGGGAGTAGAATTAGTTAATATGGTATTTTGAGTCGCAATTCGTTTTGGAACTTCTATGTAGATCGTTTTTACTACTATACAATATTATATATTACGGAACATTCATAAAACAAAGTTAGTTATCCTTTATTTTATAGTTGTGCTTGATTTTCTATTATCTAAAATACTATATAATTATAAATCTATATACATGTAGCCAATTAATATGTATTTTATATTTGTATTATATGTTCTAAAGCGAATTGATTTAGGATTAGTATTACAATTTTGGGTCGTCCATTTTGATATTCTGAATCGCGAATACACCTCGTTTGAGATCGATGTACTCAGATCATGGGTCGTTAAGAGTTTAGTGAATTGTGATAACCATGGTCAAAATTTGTATCGAAAGGCGTATCATTTTTCAAAAACAATGTATCGCATATCGTAACGTATCGTATATCATAAAATACGTGCAGTTTTATAAAAGATATTAAAAAATACATATACCTATGACAAAATGTCATAATAACATTTCATTGCATCACAAATTTATTACATAAAATAATTTAAAGAGACTACAAGTACCAAAACGAAAAAATTAACAAAATAAGTATTGAAGTTTCTAACATAATTTATCAATGTCAAAATCTAGAGAGTTCTAGTTCTAACATCTAAAATAGCTAGAGGAATACACAATCAAATTATTTGCTCCTATGATAGAACAAATAAAAAAGATTTTATTTTGTAAAACTATAGATAGTGAAACAACTTCGTTTCATTACCTAGTGCTTGAAAGAATTACTTCCAAGTGAAAATGCATCACGTATTGTTTTCTTCATGTATTGAAACGTATCATGTATCGTATGATATTAACAACTATGATCATAGCCACTTTTCACTGAATGACATCAGAATCTCCTAATTTTGTGTCTTGATAGTAAAATTCTGTTGGCACTGTGTCCTTATACTCCTGAAAGAGCAAAAATAGAGCATAGAATTATAACAACTTTAGGAATATGATGGACTACCAGAGATTTAGTTCACTGTCAATCTCTTTGCAACTGGGGCTGCTAGCCTACAGCTCATTGGCTGATGCAACACACTGATGCACCAACTGCTGATGCCGTGTTAAAATCTGTTGTGACAAGGATGTGTATAAATTGTGCGTAATGTCAACTATAATGAGAGTTATCCCCTCCCCCCCCCCCCCCCCATTGGGGCAGAGGGGGGTATCCACCTCAAGTTCCGTTACCCCCAGTCAGCAATCCAATTTGAAGATTCCTCAAGGCTGTGAAACAATGCTACATCCGCCGAGCTTTCTAGCTCTTTGAAATTTCTTTGAACATGTAACTGTGTAGCAGGAATAAGCATTAGGGTGGAATGCTCGAGTGTGTATGCTACATATTGCTAAAGTTGAGCATCTGCCGTACCACATCCTTGAAACGGGATTCCTGTCTGTGGGCCCTTAAGTTGCAACAAGATTAAATTACATCAGAGCAATTGCCTGTTTGTGTGTGTGATCTACATATTCAAGTTTCTTGCGAACAAAATAGTGTTTTCTATCTCATTTCTCAATTTAAATGGATCACATCATTTCATCATTCAAAGTTTCTTGATGTTCTATGTCTCTTTTTTCTTCTGTTTTTTGTGTTTTGTAATTGCTCATCTTGCTTGAGGATATGCAATTGAAATTGATTGGTCAAATCTATCTTATTTACTTATTGGGTTTTGATTTTATTTGGGTTTTTATGTCCCAGGTAATTACAGGATTTGAACCAAAAGAGCGTTGTATGCTTCTTAAGTTTGTGACCAGTTGTTCTCGAGCTCCTTTGCTTGGGTTCAAATACTTGCAGCCAACCTTTACCATTCACAAGGTATCCTCTTAAATTACATCCCCCATGTGCTCTTTTGGGGGCACGGCCTGCCCAGGCAGGTGCCCATCCTAATGCTTGATTCATCCATTTTTGTTTTGTTATTATCCGGTAATTATCCTTGACCAATCATTTCAGTTTCTTTTTCGGCTTTGATGGGTGATATTTATACATTTGTTGGATGTGTGCTTGTTTGATCTTGGAAAAGCATATGTAAAAAAATTTTAATTTCATGCATAGCACAATATTTGAGCTCTCCTTACTGCGTATATCCCGTGAACATTTGCGAAGAATTAGTGGGAGACAAAAATGTGCTATACCTAATAAACACAAACCAAAAATAAAAGGAAAAATTTCATTCACACCCCCTGTAATTAAGTCTAAATTTAATGACACCCCTTCCTGATTCTGAAATTTCACTTTACCCCTTTTTGGTTTATACTTTCAAATCAATGACATCTCCTTAACGGTAAATTTTGTTTTTGTCAGTAGATAAAGTAATAATTTGACTAAATATTTTGTAAAAATATCAAAATTACCCTTTGTTATGTAAATAGACTAAAATGCTCTCAACCATTTCCCCATTATATATACGCTAACCAGCAAGCGTGATTTCTATCATTATATTATCCCAATGAAGTTTTTATTTTAAAATGTTGCATGATAACTTGATTATAATATTAGTCATCATATTATCACTCATTTTGTTACATAATCAAATTTTTATAATTTTTATAGTTAAAAATGATGTTCTATAATAAAAATTACAATTAATAAAGTCAATGTTAAAATCTCTTCTATTTCTGACTCCTATGCTATCATCTGTCATCCACAACGTCACCCGACAACTCTTCATACATCACCGTTTATATATAAAATTTAAAAATTATTTGATAAAATTTAATATTAATTAAATAAATTTGGTTTTCATTTGATAAATTTAAATATTAATTTGGCATTAATTTGATAAAATTAAATATTAATTTAGTATTGATGTGATAAAATTTAATATTATTTGAATAAATTTGAATGTTGCTTTAATGAAATTTCATGTTCATTTGATATTAAATTAAAGAAATGATATTAATTTGATAAGGTTAAATGTTAAATTAATAGAATTTAATATTCTATTTAATATATTAAATTTTAATTTAATAAAATTGAATGTTACTTTGGTGTTGATATGATGAAATTAAATAGTAATTTAATATTAAATTAAAGAAATGATATTAATTTGATGAAATGAAATATTAAATTAATATAACTAAATACTAATTTGATAAAATTAAATATCAATTTTGTATTAATTTAATGAGATGGAATGTTAATTTAGTTTAAATTAAATATTAAATTGATCAACCTAAAGATTAATATAATAGAACTAAAAAGGAGTACATTAAAATTTTAGAATTGAGATAGTTTGTTGGGTCTATTTATGGGGGTTGCTAAAATTACGTCTATTTATAAAGGGTGTGGATAAAATTTACTCTATAAAACACTCGGGTATTGCTGTAAATCAACCATTGTCGTTTATGCCGTAATCCAACAATTACTAACAGGGAGTGATAGTGAAATTTCAGAATCGGAAGGGAGTGTCATTGAATTTAGACCTAACTATAGAGGGTGTGAATGAAATTTTCTCAAAATAAAATTATTCGATGACAGTCTTTCTACTGCACGCTGTCAAACAATAAATTGTGAGAACAACTCTTTTAAATGTGGCATTTAGCTTGTCATTAATTTGTTGGTATTTTTCTACAACTAACATCTTTCCCCATCTCTTTGGATGTAGGACTGCAGTAGGAAAACTAAGTTTATGCCATACACAATTGATTTCATGGTAGGTTTAGATCAAGGAAAGCTTATAATATTAGGATCTTTGTGATTGAGGAAAGTTGTAAGCTTTTATGGCAGGGAAGGTGTTGGAACTTTGAGTCTTCAAGTGCTAGAAAGTCAAGAAACGTAGGCCCTGTTTGGTTTGCATCTCAGAAACTATTTTCTGTTTTTAGAAACATTCTAGGAGAAAAATTGTTTGACCAATTATTTTTTATTTTTGTTTTTTGAAAATTGAAAATAAAAACTGACTAAATTTAGAGAACAAATTTAAGTTGTTTTGTATATTTTTGGAAATAACCTTTTCAGAATTTAGAAAACACCACCATCACACTTCCACCTCCACGCCCACCACCGTACTTCCACCACCCTTCCACCAACACCACCACCGCCACACTTCCATCACCACTACACTTTCACCACCAACAGCATTCCACCACACCATCACTGTCACATTTCCACTTACTACCACTTTTTTTTTATTGTTTTCCGGATTACTATTCAAACAAGTTTTATTGTTTTTTATTCTATAGAATTACTTTTGGAATCATATAACCAAACAAGTTCTGCAACACAAAAAAATACCAAAAACAGTTTTCTTAAACTCTTCCCAAAAATAATTTTTGAATATTATTTTTTGAGACGCAAATCAAATAGGGTCATATGTTTCATTTTTTTGACTAACATTCTAAAACTTGGAGCTAATTTTATGACTAACAATCTGAGATTTGGGCAAATGGGTTAGGTTGGTTGGGAATTACAATGGATAGGTTTTGGGGCTCAAAGAGGGCTATTCGGGTAAATATTCAATGTAAATTTGACACCGAGTCATTATCGTCACGAGATGTCACCATCCAATATGAAATTGACTAAATGGACCCTGCTTCTAGATATGAGGTAGTTATTATGTTACATGGAGGGGGTGGTTATTAAATTGTGTTGGATTCACTTGTTACTTTTTTTTTTTCTGGATGGTGACACCACGCGGCAATGATGACTTGTTACTTGTTACAATGAATATTTTCTCTGTTCTGGGTCTATGAAACAGTGTCCAAGACCAGTGTTTTGACTATTTGTACTGCTAGGGTTGAATCTTTAATTATTAGAAAAGGTTAGGCCCTATAAAGTTTTTTGGGTTGAAACGATTGGTTCATTGTTAAATTGGAAGGCTACACAGATATTTATATACTAATAGACTATCTTAATTCTATAGCAATTATGACTCGTTCTTTCAGAAAAATACTGAATTTTTTACTTAATAATAAATTCTAGAAAACATAAAACTCCAAAGGGTCGTTTGGTTGTTGTATTATAGGGTGTATTAAAGAGTCATATTTGATTAAAACGTTTTAATATGAGTTTATAATACATTTGGATACAAAAAATAACTTCATATTATATATGGGATTAACTAGATAAGTCTCACATACGGATAATTCTAATGCAATTTATCCGTACTATTGAGCTATTTTAATACCACCAGGAAAGGTGGTATTATAATACAGACTAGATGTATTTATTGTTATTTTACAATTTTACGCTCAATCTAAGAAAAATTCATGCGATTATTCCTTTTTATTTATTTTAATAAAAATTATATAGACATCCTGTCTTCATAACAAATCGGCCCTTAATTTTTTTACAATGACCTGACGTCCCTCTCATTTGAACAACCTATAAAAGATATACTTCATTCGTCGTTTACATGGATAATGATAAACGACATTAATAATAAATAAATATATGTCCAAAACATACTTTTACACAATTAAAGCATGCTTGTTTAATTCTAATATTATTTAAAAATATTCATAATAAATATTACGAAATGTTGGACTACCATAAGGGATCAAGTCGGAGATAATTGAGGGCATTTTAGTCCACTCATTTCATACCATTGAATAAATTATCTAATCAAACATTATATTGGACTTGATACTTATTGTCCAACTCTTAATACCGTACTTAACAAACGCTTAACTAAAATTGGTATTATCTTTATCCCCTATGAGGTGGTTATTATGTTACATGGAGGGGGTGGTTATTAAATTGTGTTGGATTCGCTTGTTACTTTTTTTTTTTCTGGATGGTGACACCATGCGGCAGTGATGACTTGTTACTTGTTACAATGAATATTTTCTCTGTTCTGGGTCTATGACACAATGTCCAAGACCAGTTTTTTGACTATTTGTGTTGCTAGGGTTGAATCTTTAATTGTTAGAAAAGGTTAGGCCTTATAAAGTTTTTTGGGTTGAAACAATTGGTTCATTGTTAAATTGGAAGGCTACACAGATATTTAGATACTAATAGACTATCTTAATTCTATAGCAATTATGACTCGTTGTTTCAGAAAAATACTAAATTTTTTACTTAATAATAAATTCTAGAAAACATAAAACTCCAAAGGGTCGTTTGATTGTTGTATTATAGGGTGTATTAAAAAGTCATATTTGATTAAAACGTTTTAAGATGGGTTTATACTACATTTGGATACAAAAAATAACTTCATATTATATATGGGATTAACTAGATAAGTCTCACATACGGATAATTCTAATGCAATTTATCTGTACTACTGAACTATTTTAATATCACCAGGAAAGGTGGTATTATAATATAGACTAGATGTATTTATTGTTATTTTATAATTTTACGCTCAATCTAAGAAAAATTCATGCGATTATTCCTTTTTATTTATTTTAATAAAAATTATATAGACATCCTGTCTTCATAACAAATCCGCCCTTAATTTTTTTACAATGACCCGACGTCCCTCTCATTTGGACAACCTATAAAAGATATACTTCATTCGTCGTTTACATGTATAATGATAAACGACATTAATAATAAATAAATATATGTCCAAAACACACTTTTACACAATTAAAGCATGCTTGTTTAATTCTAATATTATTTAAAAATATTCATAATAAATATTACGAAATGTTGGATTACCATAAGGGATCAAGTTGGAGATAATTGAGGGCATTTTAGTCCACTCATTTATACCATTGAATAAATTATCTAACCAAACATTATATTGGACTTGATACTTATTGTCCAACTCTTAATACTGTACTTAACAAACGCTTGACTAAAATTGGTATCATCTTTATCCCCTATTTAATCTTTGATTTTATTCATCTATCCAAGATTGTCTTGTATTCCCTAATACAGTCCCTCTTTTCTTAATATGACCCCTAAATAAAACCTAAAATCCATAATGACCTAAAGTGCTGACCCATGAAACAAAACCACAGAATCATCTTGTAATCTAAGCCCAAAATATCCTTGACTCCTAAAACTAAAAGACGACAAAAAATCAAAAAAAAAAAAAAAATCCCACCATCATTTAATTCGCAATCAACAAATACTGTCTAATACATTGTAGTTCACCGCGAGTTCCAGACCGTGCTCCTAGCAAAATACTTGAGTTTCCTTTTTCCTTCTCCCTATGTTGTAAATCATTCCCCCTCTGTATATATAATTTTAGTATCTTACGACATCCCATCTACATTCCATTTCCAGTTATTATCAGTTGATTAAATGGCTTGGCCAAGTTATCTGTCTTTTCTATATCCCCTTCCCTCCTTTACCAGAATCAGAAAAGAAATACCAATCCTAATCCTTTTAATGAATGGAATGTATAGGTTTCATGCGATGTGCCTCTTTGGGCAACATTTGGAGGACAAGATGTGGAGCGGCTTCCTTCAGCTTCTACATGCTACAACACTCTCAAGGTATTGTTATTAGTTGACTAAGCTGCAAACGCAGATTAAAATAAAACTTGCAGACCATATATATTGTTAAACAACTATCGACTCTAAAAACTTAAGCTGTTAGAGAGTGTAATTTAAATATTTATGCTTCACAAGGTACTGTTATTAGGTGACTAAGCTGCAAACGCAAAGAAAAAAAAACTTGCAGACCATATATATTGTTGAACAATCATCTACTCCAAAACTTAAGCTGTTAAAGAGGGTATAATTTAAGTTTTTGTACTTCAATACGTCCCTTACGTGCAGGCTAGATTTTGAGTCTAGCACATGAAAATCTTGTAATAATTAAGGTGACGACGAGATTCAAACATATGACTTTCTGGTCTGATACAATGTTAAACAACCATTTACTCCAAAAGCATAAGTTGTTAGAGAGGGTGTAATTTATTTATTTATACTTTAAAATATATATTGATCACTGATTCATAAATCATGTACATTTGCCCTGTTTATTGGATACAGCTTCCCACATACAAACGTGCAAGCACTATGAGAGCAAAACTTCTTTATGCTATCAATTGCAATGCAGGGTTTGAGCTTTCTTAGAGATTTCTCGCAATATATTGCTTGAGGTAAACCTTCTTTGTTTTGTTATGTGTTGCTATCATGTCTTATTACATAGTGAGATTATTGAAGATTTTGATCCAGTTAATGAGAAGAAATCTCATTCTTGATATATCTTCATGGATTGGCCTTCCAGTAGCGTAGGTATCATTTGTATAATTTTTTCTCATTGTCAAAAGCTTCACTTCTGTGGTTGATACTATAAGACAGTCAAAATTATCTCTTGTTTTCAAAATCTGAAAATTTTGGGCGGAAAAACAGTTGAAATTATATTGGCAGAAACTCAGAATTACTGGGTAAAAGATCTTCCAGAATATCTGTAAATGGTGGGGAACAATGCATGTTCAGAAGGGAACTGGTCAGATTAACATTCAAGCTTTGCATGTCTCTTTCTTTCCATTTCGACCTGAGTTGTGACTAGGTAAATATTCCAAAACATTTGTACTATGCCCCGACATGCATTCAATTCATATTGGGCTATCCGTGGAATTTGTTTTGAAATCTTTGCACAAGAGTCAGACTTTTTGACGCTATGTAAATGTAGCAATGGAAAACACTATTAATAATGCAGTATTTATTTTCTTATTCGTACAAGCTAAGATTGCCGCAGAGATTTTTTTCATATAGGATAAACTTAATCTGACCATCTTTACCTGAGTTTGCACATACCGTACAATGGAAAACCTACCATTTAACTCTAACAGCATATACCAACCAAAGCACGTACATATTTTGTTCTAACAGTACAATAAGTAGTTCATCAGATGGAAACTAAAATTATTGCTTTAACTGCGGTAGGCATTAAGAGATCAGGGAGACTCCTTTTTCAAGTAGATCTTGTGCGAGTATTTGGTTAGCCGATTCAGAAGGATGGAATCCATCCCAAAACACATACCCTGTAGCATTTGAACATGTCCCTATAGACCTTTCATTGCAAAGCACGGATGTTTCTAGTGTACCAGTCCCACAGCAACCCTTCCTTGATTCAAAGAATCCTGGCATAGTGACAATTTCACATGAGAATTTTTTATCAGTTTCTATTGTTTTCAAACACCCAAAAAGAAGCTCAATTCTTCAATCATGTGTTTGTGTGTGCATGTGTAGTGGAAGTGCATCGTACTTCTAATGCACCACCTTTCCAAAGATCTCATTTTGTTGTTTTTAATTACCCACCAGTGCAGTAGAATCATCTCATGGGTTCTAAGGATGGTTTTATATTTTGATGATGAATATATTAATTTATGGCAGGATGCATGGATTGGCTACTTATTGTTTGAAAATTGGTGGACATTACCATTATCAGTGGGCTTTGTTATCAGACCCAAGAGAGGCTGGTAGATATCAAAGACCACAAGTTTCAGACCAGGAAGCCTGCTCTGCAAATCTTGGGATGTGCTATTTAGCTTATTGTTAAACGAAATGGCATCGCCGTTCAGCCTGACAACACACCGGTTGCTACCTGAACCGAATAAAGTGATTGCTGCAGGCAAACATCCAGTTGGTGGTAGAGTTGTAACTCCGATCTTCCTAACTCCCAGCCCGTACAGATTCTGTCACATAGCAATGTTGCTGATGTTAAGTACACAACGTGTGTTTGAGAGAAGGCATTCACTAGATTTGTTTATAGTCAAGCTTCATATCAAGGTCCTGTATCATTTTCACAATGAACAATAGAACTGCTCGAGTGTTTCGTGGTTGAAATTTGGATATGTACTCATTCATAAACGAGGGATGTTGGTGGAGAACAAGATAAGTTTGGACGTTTCTCTATGAGTATGGAAAAAGTTGTGTGACTTGATAAAGATTATGTAAGAGGAAAACCTGTACAAAAGTAGAGTAGGACTGCACGAGAATGTCCGAGAAGCGATCGGGTGAGTAGAATATGTTGAGCAATGGATTGATGTAGTAATTCTGAACGAAGTCACTGCTCCCTGCACTCAGGAGGTGGATTGAACCCGAGAATATGGCGTTAGCTCTCGCTTTCCCTACCATCTCCACCACTTTGTTTTGCCACTCTTTGTAATATTCTACTTGTTGGGCCAATGTAATGGCACCCTGAGAACACCAAACAACAAATGTTCAAGCTTTTTAGTTATTACTTTCTGAGAGTCAACAATAATGTGTGTGTGTGTGAGAGAGAGAGAGAAGGGTTTACATATAACTTGGCAGTCTTATTATAAAAACCAGAAGATGCTGAGGCAAAATTGGCACCAGCCAAGAGGATCTTTCCTTTGGCATCTTGGCTAAGATAAGCTGGTGGGTATGAGGCGAACCCAAGATACTCAGCTGCCACAAGGAAAGGAAACGACACATCATGTGTGTGAGAGAGAGACAGAGAAGTGTGTAGTTTTTTTCATTTGTGTGTACTTCAAAAACCTGAACGTAATAATAATAATTATTAATAATTACTACAAAATAAGGGTGATATTGCAATTCAATTTTGTATAGTTGTGATAAAAAAAAAGGGTTTTTTGGTCTCGATCCTATCATTTTGGGATTAATGCTAACATATAGAATCAATCATAATATTTTAGGAATCAATCCAAATTTAATTGGACTTGTACCTTGACATTAATGGGTTATAACTGACATTTTTGAGTAATAACTTTAACTCAAATGACTTACAGTACTTGAGCCCTTTGAAAGTCAGGTATCGATATTTGGGACCGGTACCTGAGACTGTTTAAATTACAGAATGAAGGAGGGACCAGTATTTGTAAGCCTTAGTATCGGTATCTAGGCCTGCTAGTAGTGAGGTACCGGTACCTATTACCTAAATTTGATTTTTAAACTAAACACTTCTGAGCTTTCAAATTTTGAGTTTTTTTTCTTCGAACTATATGATTGGCTAAATTTTAAATTCTAAACTTTGGAATGTAGACTTTGAAATGGTCGTATGAATAATATATGCACATGTGGTGTATTGGGTAGAACTCTCATGCATGGGAGGTTCTACCCCGAATTTCATTTTGTTATGATCCCGGTGAATGGGCTGCAATGACATAGCATCGGGTTATATGGCATTCATGGTTATTTTGAGAATTCATAGATGATCAACGAGTTAAGAGAAGATCCCCGAATTTTAGAGTGTCACAATTTGACTAGCCTTTGTATCATCCAGTGCCAGCTTAATATTATAACAATTGAAGCATGGCCTTTAGGCCCTATCTTTGAATGAGACCCTAAATTTCATAGGTCTCTCAATATGATCAATAGCCTAAAAATTCAACCCATAAAACTAAGCCCCAAATGGAAGAAAAAAACCCCATATAATGTCAATACTAAAAAAAATCAATTACGCATCAAGTCACTCCCATAGGTCCCAATTACCCCTTCAAAATTAAAATTAATAAAATTTTTCATAAGTTCAACAATGTCGAAGAAATATTAAGCCAATTATTCATTTTATATCAATCAAAAAAGACATGTTAGCAAAACTTAATACAAAAATATAATAAAAAAAGTCATCTAAATAAAAAATAAAATAAAATTTACATAAAATAAGTTTCGAAAACTAAAAGACCTCATTCATATTGGCTGTTTTAGGCCTCTAATTGTATTGAACCACCCCTGGTATCATCGTAAATTTTGGTACATTATTGAACTTGGTACGATAGTCTTACATGTATAATACTTTCCAACTAGAAAGAGGGGAAGAGGAGGAAGATGGAGGGGGTTCATGATGAATATTACCAGCGAAGTCTGTGGCTAACTTGCCATTACAGAACCTCCCCGTAGGTCTGTGGGTGACAAAGTCTCTACCATAAGGGAGGAAGTTTGCTTTGATAAGTGTCTGGAGATTGTTGTTGTTTCCTACATCAACCACAGAGTCCCCAAAGATGCACAATGCAGGAACAAGAGGGTCCCCATGAGCCACACAGAAGAAACTCACAGCAACAACTAGAATGAAACCCAAAACAGATCCTGAAAGCCCCATTCCTCCACCAGAAACTCACCCAAGAAGAGAGGGAGGGAGAGAGAGAGAAGGGTAAATGGATGAATGAAGATACTGAAGAGCAAGTGGGAGAATTTAAGGAGAGAAGTCTTGTAAGTAATGGGCAAAGTGGCATAACTGTCTGGGAGAGTTGGGTTGCTATAAAGCTGAACATTTGCAGGTCAGGAGGCATGTTTAGCAACCCCTTAAAAGTAAATGATATTAATCATTATTAGGCAAAAATTATGAGTTGGATTTGTCCATTTTTTGTGAGTTTGTTTTGAGGAGGTGACAAAGATTTTGGTTAAAGTTAGAGATCAAATAAGATCCTCGTGACTCAAAGAAAATGTTTCTCCTAAGTTCTCTCTCTCAAAACAATCCAACAGATCTTCAAACCAGAACCAACACAAAGCTGTATAACAATCAAAAAGATAGCTTAAGTGGTAATAGGGGCAAGCTCTAAACTTAAACGTCATAAGTTCTAATCTTCGCAAATTATGGGATAAGGCCATGAAAAATTTATTCTTTATATTAATACCTAGTCCCAACGTAGATACTCTGTCATGGCATCGTCAACCGGTATGCCAACTGCAAAGTGGAGGCTCCAACAGCTCTTTTTGGCATGCAAGACTTCTCCAACCAACATATCAATTGCTAACTAGACAAAAACAAATTTGGGTCAAATCTTTTTAATACATTATTTTATGGAGTTGTTGGGTATTTAATGCAATTTATTTTACGTAGTATTAGAATTTTTATTTTGGAATTATATTTTTAATTGTCGTTTAAATTTGTATTAGCTAAGTTTAGTGAGAATTTTAGTTTCAACAAAATATATACTACTTTTCATATAAAATTTATAATATTTTAAAATATATTTTTATAATAATATTTATTTTAATTGATTCCAAAATTTGTTTTAAATGCATTTATTAAATTAATATAAGGAAAGAGAATTAAACATAAAGATTGAATAAAATAAATTATTTTGACATATCCATTGGAGTGCAAGGTAAAAATGTCACATATGATATCTCAAATTACCACTTAAACCTTCAAGTTTAAATTCAGCATATATAGCATTTATAATCTCCACTTAAAGATGCTCTTAGGATAAGACCACATCCTTATTAATCAAGTATCACAGATCTTATGGGAAGTTACTGAGAGATAATGATTGGTCTCATCCTAATCCTTATTTTGGCATTTCTATGATATATGAACAAATAAAGTCTAATATTTGAACATGATTAACACGGATATGAACCAACACAAGCTCGAGTTCCTTTCGTTTTATCAATCAAGCCAGAATTGATAAAATTTTAACGAGTTTAGTTTGAACAAATATATGAATTTCGTCACAATCTTGAACCAATTCCCAGATCTATTTACAAAAAGCAAACGAATGAGTAGAATATATTTGGGGTATAATTACAGCCTCTGCAAGAGGTTTGCTCATAATAAGGTGCCTTGAATTCTGCCTCTATGCTCTCATTATGCCTTTAGACCACAACATGAATGAGCACCCACATCCTAGAAAAGGCACATCCTTTACTCCATAGCTAAATTATAACAAGCATGACCAAAAAAGTGGAATGTTTCCACGCAGCTGTTCATATTGCACATGGGATAATGGTATGGTACCCAGGGGCGGCCCAATCGAAATGGGGGTCTTACGCGAAAATTGTAAATGGGGTCCTATTAAAATTTATTGTAATACTATTAAATAACTACTTATTTCTCATACATGAAAACACGTAATAATAAAAAAAAATTAATAATAAACATATTTGTATTTATACTCAAAATAAAATTACAAAAATAAAGGAAAGAGAAAGAAATTTAAATATCCTATTGTAGTTGGGGCAAGTGGTGGTGGACGACAATGATAGTGGTGGAAGATGGTGATGGTTTTGATGGGTGACGACGATTGATTGTGATGATGGGGGACGACGATTGATTGTGATGATAGCAGTCGTGGGTGACAATGATGATGAGGGTGGTATGGTGGTGGGGGTGGTGGTAATAGGGATGATGGTGAGATGGTGGCGATAGTAATAAGGTAGCAACAGCGGTGGTGGTGGTGGTGGTAGTGGTGGGATGGTACGGGTATTGGTAGGGTGGCGGTAATGGTGATATGGCGGTACGGGTGTTGGTAGGGTGGCTGTAGCGGTTGTAGGGTAGTGGGTGTGGTGGTGGTTGTTGTGACAGAAGTGGTGGTAGTATAACGGCGGCAGCAACGATAGTATTGATTCTGGTGGTGGTCATAGTGATGGTGGTGGGGTGATCGGGGTGGTGGAGTAATGGTGGTGGTGGGGCAGTTCCGAACCCTTTTTTTTTAAAGTACATATAAGAAATTATAAGTTCTATAAACACTTTTAAAAAATTATCTCAAACACACTTTTATGGCCTATTTTTACTATTAAATTTAGGGTGTTAATATTAACTGTTGGATTAACTTTAAGATAAAATTTAAAAAAATCTCAACCACGATAAGCAAAAGTCATTTTGTTTATCTTTTGAGATTTGAATTGTATTTTACTTTATTATATATGTATTATATGTTCTATGTATTTTAATTAAAGCATGAAATATAATGATTTATTATGCTCTATGTCACACATCATAGAAAATAAACAATTTATGAATAATAAATTTCAAGTTCAAAAATCAACTTTCTATTTATATGGATAACATTACAATACTAAAATCAATACCGTGTTAAAATCAATCTTAATTAGGAATGAATTGCAAAAATTATAAATTAAAAATGTTACATGTGATTAAGCAATCCAATATTAACAAACAATTGATAAAATACATCCTTTTTTTTTGTTAATAGCATATTTCCTTTGGGATGGACCCTGAGATTTCTTTTTGACTCTAAAGTCTATTGTATTATGAGAGAGAGAGAGAGAGAGAGAGTTTAAAAGCAAAACTTTTCAAAACAAATGGCAAGCCTGACACATGTACCTCGTAGGGTCCTAAAAGAGAAACTTTTGTTGGTTGACTGTGGATTGAAATGATTTTTTGGAGCCCCATGTTTAGGGAATGCTATCCGATTGAAAAAATAAATAATTTTGAGAGGGATGTTAATAATCGTTACACAAATTTATTTGAGATGATTGAATAAATTTATTACAATTTGTATCGTTTTATATCATAGATGTTGTGAAATATGAAGAGAGAATACATGTAAATGTATTGTTTTAGTATCTATGTTTTTACATTTATTCCCTCCCCCCCCCCCAATTAAAAAAATTTACATTTATATTTAATTTAAATTTTTTAATTTTATTATTGTTAAAATTGGCTCCTAAAGCGACAAATTACTTTGGGCTCTGCCCCCTGCCAACAATGATGAAGGTCTCTATGCATGCTTTGAATTGGTTTCGAAAGTCTTCGACCACCCTTCACTCCAAAAAAAAAAAATTTAAAAGAACACAAAATTTCCCAAAAGTAAAATAGGCATCATTGCACAATCCACCCTTAGGCCTCAGTCATGATACTACTAAATGCAGTTCACATCTCAAATTAACTTTCTAAAATACTGTCACGTAAACCCGAAGAAGAAGATAACTTAGCGGAGACAAAAATAGAGACAGAGTAGTAAAATTAAATATCTTGAATTTAAAATTTAGAGGAATTCTTTAGTCCTAGCATGGATATCTTGCTTTTGATCGGACCAAAAAGAGAATTAATTGAGATACACATAAATTGACCAGGACACCCCTGACCGCAATACTTAAATAAAATATATATATATATATATATTAAGAACACTAGGAGTCACCATTCCACTTGTTACATCAATGACATTGTAGTTTCACTCCTATATATTTAACAACCCTAACCTAACATTATCAGGTTGTACAATAACCCTAGTCAATTGGGTAGCCAAATCTTGTTAGGTCATATGGCCCGACTCATGTCCACCAAGCTAGTTTTTAAGCTCAATCGGGGACACCTAATGAAGGTAGCTATGAACAATAACAATGCACCAACTTTATTAAGTGAAATCACGCACTTATTTAAGTGAAATTGTTTGTGAAAATCCTCTCATCCTCTAAATGCAAAATCCCAAAAGATTCATTGAGAGTGAATACAAAAAATGTGTCAATCGATGGGATCCAATACAATCATTGTAAATACAAGTATTAGAATTTCTATAAGTAATGTCAATAGAACTTAATATCCTGACACATTGATGTACCAGCTAACAAGGCCCAAATTGCATTATTGCAACTGCAATTATGGAGTCTTTTTCAGTAAAAGTATACTTGTAACACATCATTAAGTTGGGATATCAGTTTAAGTTATGATGTCTCAGTGTTAATATTCTTTGTTTATTGATACCATGTCACCTGATTAAGATCTTAGAGGCCAATAGTATTATTCATCCTCTATGTTATACTACTCCCAAAAGAGTGGACAAACAGGAACACCACCAAAAAGGCATACCCCCCCCCCCCCCCCCACCCACCCACCCACCCCCAACAAAAAAAAAAAATAGATAAGAGTTGCAAGAGGTCCATGGCTCTCTCGATAATTCTCCTGGGGAAGCAAATCATCCAACTTGAGCAGAATAAACCACTGCACTTACTATAACAAAGCCACCTCCACTCAACGCATTAAAAGCTGGAATGCTTCATTTGTGCTCTCTACAGCATAGTCGTATCCAAGACTGATGGCACGACCCTGAAACTCATCCATATCTGTCGAGGCAACTTGGAAACCGACTAATACATTTGCACCAGTATCTCCCTTTTCAAGAGGCAAAAAGAAACGAAAATCATATTACCCCGCTGAAATCAAAGTAAAGCACCGAAAGGAAAACCAGGAATAAAACTAAGGTTCCAACCTGTCCACGATAATGGAACAAGCTAATATTCCAACGGGGGACTGAAAGCATCCAAGAATTTCATCAAAGCTCCTGGCCTATCTGGGAAAACAAATCGACAAAGAGCCTCATTTTGAACATGTGACCGACCCCCCATCTGAAAGATTCAGAATGAAGTAGACTTAGCCATAAGTGCAGAAACATATAACTTTAATCCCAACTAAATTAAGTATAAGCACATGCCAGTACAATACAAACATGAGGGTATTCAAGCTAAAAGGTCCTTAAAATTTTAACTGCCACAATTCGAAATTTATTTCACCCAAATCGAAATCCAACATTTGAAATTTATTTTACCCAAATTCTCAACCTCTTTCATAAGTTCCTCTATGCTCCAAAAAGAACCCTTGCAATTAATGATGACTCTCTTTATGTTTCTTATAGTTCCCATGGAAACCTCTATACATTTATCTTAAAAAGAGCTGGAAAACATTATATTGGTTTGGAAGGTGAACTTTGCTTAATGAACTTCCAATATTTTTCTCAACAATAACATTGTCAATTACAAATTCTTTACAATTTTATAACCGATTTGATATCATGTTAGAGTGGAAATGGGAGGGAGTGGAAGAGCAAAAACACTTGATATAAAGAGTTTTAATGCCCTCATAGTGCAAGTACATCTAGTTTTGTATTGACGACACAAAATTAATGGAAGAAAGCTCTATAAGGATTTACATCTAAAACTACATGTGAATAGTAGATTGATACCATTGATAGTTTCTTACTTGGCCCTTCGCATCATTTCAATTGTACCAACAAATTTTATTTCTTTTGACCACTACCCCCCCCCCCCCCCTCCCTTCTATTATATTGAATTCCTATTTCCTAGCCTCGCCCTCATGATAGTAAGGTGCACTAATGTAACAACAATGAGCTTGTGCATTGACTAAAATAATACTCAGATCAAACCAATGCATTATGAATAAGTCAGCACAAAGTGCCAAAAAAGGAGATTCAGTTAGAATATTACCAAATGTCGTAGATGATCTTTAACTAAGTCATTATTTGTCAGATTGATAGTTTTAAGTTGAGAAGATTGCAACCTGTCTACTATTGCTTCAAGTTATCGAAGGGGTCCGACACCAGATCTAAGTCCTCCGGTAGCCTGAAGTTCACCTTTGAGTGAGCTTGCCAATGGTGACTCGGCCTGAACGACATCGTTGGATTTGTTTGCTGTGAGCTCGGATTCGATGGATCTTCCATTTCAGTTTTCGGTGTGTGAGTTGAGTAAGTGAGATTTGTTTATGGTTGTCTTTGTTTGTCTTCCATATTGCCGAGAGAAGAGAGAGTGAACAGTAATTTGACTCGTGATGTCATAGAGTGAGAATTAAGAATATTTATTTTTTACCCCCTCAAAGATTGGATTTTTTACATTTCACCTATTTTTGTTTATCTCAATACATTAATTTAAGTACTTTAAATTTGAATATTTAAACAATATTTATTTAATAAAAGTATTTTTCTTATAAACTCTTTTGATAAACATTTATTAAAAAAATATTTTTTGAATTTCATAAGTCATTCTAAACACACCCTCAGTCTAATGAATTTTTCTATTTATCACCCGGGCCTACTAATACCAAACTTAAATCTGCTAAATTTTGTATGGTGTTCCTTGTTCAAAATTATCAGCCACGTTGTCCCCATTTAAAGGCTTGCCCACATGCAAACGTGCAAGGCGGCCACGGGATATTTTGGGACAAAGCTGAACAATAAATGATACTTTTACTTTGTTATATTAATAATAGTTTTAATGTTAAAATTTTTTGAAATAGAAAAATATTAATTGAATTTTTATATTTAAATTTTTGTTATCATATTTGAACTTGAGAACGAGAATGAGAAAGAGAAATTATTATAGTAAGCTTGAAATTGACTTTTTCAGGGATTAACACTTGATATTTTAGTAACTTTAACTTTGCAGTTAGCTTTTTTCTTTTCTTTTTCTTTTTTAAAAAAAAATCTTTTAATTTTATAGGCTGAATTAATAGATCCAATCTGCTAAACTTGAAATCTTTTATTTGGGTTTAAATTTTAAATTTTTTGTGGGACCTATTTCTTATGAATTCAAACTTTTTATTTGAGATAATATTACACATTAAATGCATTTCGTATCATTTCATTAGTTACAATACATTATGTCTTTAAATTATATCTCAATAAAATTAATGTATTACATACTTACAAATCAAATATACTACGTAATCCAAATTTGTATTTCAAATGAAAAAGTTTATTGGATGAGTAGGTTCTATCAACTTTTTTAAATGAGACCCACTAATTCAATAATCTTCCTTCATTTGGGATGCAAATTTGGATTACATAACATTACTCCTTACAAATTATGTCGCCTTCATTAAAATGGGTCCTAAAACTCAAATTTTATTGACCTAACGTTTAGGCCGGCCGTAGTCGAATCTACACAATTTGAACCATTATTGTACTTTGTGTAAATAAGAATATGTGTTTTATTATATAAATATGATTATTGGCGTTTTTCATCCGGCTAATGAAAACAATATTTCATACCTTCCAACAACATATATACATATATATATATATATATATATATATATATAATCTTTGTTTTTACCATGGTCAAATTGGTTTGTATGATAAGACAGTTAAAACTATCTCAAGTTTTCAACTTAATTTAGTAATTATTGATTGAAAAAACAGTTAAAATTATTATGACAGAAGCTGAGAATTGCCGGCCAGGCAAAAGGCATCTGTGTTGGGGGAAGAATGCATGTTCAGAAGGAACTAGGCAGATTAACGTTCAATAAGTCTACCTCACTCCCAAAACATTATAGATATCGTATGGAATTGATCTTGAAAAGTAAATATAATTTTGATTGATTAGTAATTATTGATTGAAAAAAATATACGTGTCGCGGTTTTATTAGGTGAAAAATAGAGATATTGATGATGCACAAAACAGTCTCGTACAAGATCAACAGTCGAGTGTGTGATAAGGTGTAATTAATGGACAATAAATAAAGTAATCAATGATAGTAATGTAAATATTTAGTCAACATACAAATATATAGTAGTTCGATTCGGGTGACCTACTCCACTCGAAAAAAGGGCAACGGTGGTGAGAGGTCTTTATTGATGAAGGTAGGGTGAACAGAGGAGAGAGCAATTGTTAACTCTAAGAGAGATACAATAGCTAGGAAAGAGAGAAGCTATGTGTGTGCAAAGAGGTGTGGTGAGATGCCCCTCTCAATAGAGAGAGTTTACAATTTATAAGCATGGTGAGACGATGACGTGAGAGTAAAAACATTAATTTCTCGGGAGGATAGTTATAAAAGATAAGTACAACGAAGATAACCTTAATTTTCAAGAGTGTGTATCCTGATAATCTCTTTCCCACCCCACGTGCTCTTTTTTTCATAGACTCTTTGGATCTTAGACTGTGTCAGATTGATAAATCGGACTTGAGCTGCCTTTTAGCATACTTGGATTTACTTGGTTTATTGGGTCTTTTCTAGTTGAATTTGAGCTCGTCAGATATAATACCAAAAAATCAACCCGATCTATTAAGTTCTAAATGTTTTTTGTTTTTTGGGGAGGAGAATTTAAACTTTTGACCTCAAGAAGACAAAACGTTTATAAGATAAGAAATATCATTGAACCAAATGCCCAATTTCCTTTTATTTTTCGATCCTACACGTGACTAGGTGAATAATCCAAAACATTTGTACTTCGCCCTGTCTTACCATCAATTGAAAATTGGTCCATACACGGAATTTATTTTGAAGACTTTACACAAGCGTCACATTTTTAATGTTTTTGGTCCACATGAAGTTCACATGCTAATAGGCCCCGCACCATAAGACCTGCTTCAATATATTTTTTCTGTTTTTCTTCTTGACAAATCACTGAGAGTGAATTCAAGTGCAACCAAATACATATAAATAAATCTCTCACTCAGATGAGAAGGTGGAACTTGGTATGAAATTGTAATAGGAGCACTCCATACATATCCCTTCATAACAATGTGTACCATGTTGTACTGTTAATGAAACCCATCCTCTTCAGATGGATCTTCTTGGTTTTACTAATAACATTTAGATCCGTTAATTGTGTCGAGTGAAACGAGTTCGTATCGTATCTTAATAGGTTTGTGTCAAAAAAACACTTCAATTATATTTAATTTGTTTATTAATTCATGTTTAATAAGTCGTGATATAGTGGATTCATGTCGTGTATCAATCGTGTATAATCAATTTATAATATAAAACAGAGCAGGACTTCAATAAGCTGATCGTACGGTCTTCATTCATCCAAAGGCTCACAATACATCTCATTCAAATTCAAAAGTCCATATATTTTTCCCCTAAATTTATCTCATTCAACTTAACCCAACCTAACCATCACATCCAACCCAACTAAACTAAACTCAATCAACCCAACCCAACCCAATATCTGTATCTGAATAACCATCACCACCAGAGAGCCATCCCTTTTCTCAGACAAGCCATACCTTCTCTCTCTCTCTTTGTTACGCTCCAGTGACGCAACGAGGAACACCAGAAACACCACCACCATCGCCACTTCGTCTACAACACCACTACATCCCCCGCTACACAGCCAGCCTCTGCCATGTCTCCCTCTCTCTGCAGTCGCCCAGGTACCCCTCTTCCTCTCTCTCTTTCTCTCTCTGCCCTTCACCCACTCTTAGAATGTTGTCTTATTGGGAATATACCTTGTGTAATCTAAAGGAAAGAATGTGGGTGTATTAAAGATTTTCTTACTGTTAGAAACTAATAAAAGAATGATTCTTTTGGGCTAACTGAAAGGAGCCCTGCGAGGGACATCCTTCCTCTTTCGAAATCACCCCTTTGGCTTGGTGTGCTGAACTCACCAGATTTTCTTACTGTGCTGAACTCACAATGGCTTGATTTACTTCATGTTTATTTTTATCCCTTTCCGAGTCAGGGCCTTGCTTCTCAGACAGGCAATCAAATTCAAGAACCGGGATTGCAATCATCTCTTGGCTCTGGTCTTTACACAAGATCTGTGAAGAATCTATCAATACCTAAATATTCATAATTTTCCATGACACGTTGACAAGCTTAACTATTATGTAGGAAATGGAGATCAAGTAATTAATGAACTTGTGAAAATTTGTTCATCATCATTATTTACCTTGCAAGCAACAGAGCAAAAGCAGTTAGGCAAGGCTTGGATATTCCTCCCACAACCTTCACAGGATGCACCAGTAGCAGTAGTACTCTTTGATTTCAATGGTGTGCTATGTTTTGATCCAGGGGTAGGATTTAAATGCACGATTTTTTCTCCATTGGCTTTGAATGTCTGTGAAAGCATATCTATATCTGTAAATAAATTTTATTTCTAAACCAAACAAGGAATTTAAATAATGACTAAAGAAAAAATCTCATTAAATTCAATCATATGGGTAGAACAATTCAAGTGAATTAAAACCTCATTTATAATTGGCACATCAAATGAATACAACTAACTACAGAGATCAAAACGCTCCAGTGAACCCTTTAAATCCCACCCATTACGCTCCAGTGAACCCTCACCAAATACTCCAGCGACCATCGATCAGCAAACCTCCAACCCTACCAGTCCCCCTAAGCCATCAAGTTATGTCTATTTTATCTCTCTCTTCCCCTCCCTGATCCTCTCCTAACCCTTTCTCTATATTTCTCACAAAAAATTCGTTATTTTAGGCATTGTATATACTGTGTAAACTGGTGGCTTTTATAAATTTTGAATTTATGCTTTCAAACTATTTGTTGTTTTGGCTCAATGAAAGAAAAACATAATTTAGACCCTTAAAAATTGATCTTTTGATTTTGTTCTCAACAACGTGCCAGCCCATATGATAGAATGCCAAGTTCATGGTCTAAGACTTTATAAGTCTTGAAATTGTTAGATCTATTCTATAATGGGTTCCTAATTCTTTAATGATTTGTTGGTAGTGGCTGATAAAATTTGTTTGGCGGAGCTTTAAGATTAGTGTAAATTATTATTTTATGGTATAGTGACGATGCCACTTGCTCTCGAATAACTCTCCAGCATCCTACTGTTGTGTACATGGGTTTTTCTTTGTTCTTCGTATACTTTAGCTTTTGTGTAGTGTTAAATTGTCTTTAGAACTGGAGTTATGGTTTATTTTCTGTGTTTTCATTGTCTTTCACCTTTTTGGCACCCAAATGTCCCCTTTTGACTTCTAAATGTTTTTTGATTTCATGAATTAATGGGTGGGACATTTTTTGTTTTCTTTTAGTCCAATGAGTTTTGCGTCTGTTCATTCCAATGTAAATTTTTAGGTTTTTTTGGGATATGGTTTGAAATTAAATATGGAGATGGAAGTTTACGTTCTTTAGACAAATCACAATGTGGTTGAATTTCTTGAAGAAATTGATTCTCGGTTTCTTAGGAAAGGTAGAGTATGCATGGCTAAGTGGGGGCCGATATTTGTGTTGTGCGAATGATCTGGGGTAGTCAACACACACAAAAACGCAGAGTTTTTTATAGCTTTGATTTAATTTATCATGGGTACCAATAATATTTGTGTTGTGCACCTCTCAGTTTTCATTTTGCCTCTTACGGTCCTCAATGTTAGTTTGCTTTTTGGGTTCTCAATATAAAACACAACGGGCTTCAACAAGCCAATCGGATCACACCAATGACACCATGCCGTCAATCACACCTACAATCCATCACCTTCCTCTCCCCCCCCCCCTTCTCTCTCTCTCTCGGCTCTCATCACCTGCAACCCGTTCCACACCCAATTCCTCTCTCACCCACTCTCTTATACCAGCGTCGCCTCCACCACCAGCGCCACTAGCACCACCATCTCAGCTATGTCTTTCCCACCCCTTTCTCTCCCGCGGTCTCTAATGTCTAAGCTAATCTTCTTTCTTCTCACTCTACTCTCTTTTCTCTATTTGCTCGAACAACCACCCACCACTCTCAAGCAAGCCGGCAACCCACCACCATGGAGAGCAGCGAATCAGGCTCCCTCTTCTCTCTCTCTCTCTCTCTCATTTGGGGTATAATGTGTTTAAATTATGTTTCTCTTGGATTTTAATTGATTCTTTACACTTTGTTTAATTTTTTCAATTTTATGTTGGGTTAGTTTAGAGTTACCAGCGTAATGTGATTTACTCTAAACTTTGTTTAATTGTATCATTTTGTAATTTGTCAATCTAATGTGAAATTTGTCAACGGGTTTGTCTCAAATCTTCATCTCCCACTAGAGAAGAAGAACTTGAAAATCTGCGATCAGCTCTCAGCTCTCAGCTCATGGGATTGCTTCCAGGTTTGGTTTTTCACCTTCTCTCCATTAACTTGTTGTACAGACACCGTGGAACCCAATATTATTTTGCTGGTAAAATAAAAATTATTTTTTGCCTATAAATGATCATTTGAGCAATCAGATTGTATCAGCCTAGCCCCAACAGTTTCTCTCTTTACCCCTCTATCAGCCCAGCCCCAACACAACTCCGGTGAACTTTCTCTTTCCCTATCCCTTCATAATGCACATGAAGTGTTCGTCAAAATGCTTAAGAAAAATACTTACATTCTGTTCCACACGCACACAATTGGGGTTTTGGGTTAAAGGGTTGTGAGGTTTAAAATATGTGTTCATTTTCAGGTGGGAATCAAAGGTATTGCTTTATCAACAAATAGCTAGAACTTAATTATGGGTTAAACATATATTGCATAACTTATGACCCAATTAGCAGCTACATTCACCAACTATGAATGGTCTTCTGTTTTGCTTTTATATAGTTCTTTAAATGATTGAATTTCTTCTGCTTAGTTTATTCTTTAAATGATTGAATTTATTCTGCTTAGTTTATTCTGGATACAAGTTCACCTTTTTTTGATAAAAAGCTACAAGTAAATGGGTTTTATGTGGGTAATGGGTTGTTTGATTTTTGCATAATTCCTTGGATTTTCATTGTTTTATACAGGTTCCAAAGTGGCCTGAAAAAGGTTCCTTTAGCTAAATACAGGTTACAGAGTTCAGGTACGTAATTGATCCACTTTGCTTTGTATAGGATTGTTGTTTACGGTGAACAAAATTGGTTTGGGCAGTGAATTTTAAAGATTTTTAGGTTGAAAGGCCAGTTTAAATTCTTGATTTCAATCTCTTTGTTGTTATGAAGCAATAAGCATGATTTGTCTAAAATATGATTACTCACTTTTTGAACTTCGCCAGTCAAAAGAGCTATAGGTTCTGAAAATTAAATTTTAGAACCAAAAAACCTAGAAAGTTTAACGAGAAAAAAAAAGTAGTTATTTTTAATGTTCAATTGAGTTTTAATTTAATCTCTATGTGTCTACTGTCAATAATTTGGAGCTTGCTCACAATATGTTTGAAAACATGTCTGACAAGGATTTGATTTGTTGAAATGTGATGATTATTGGGTGTGATGATTAACATCCTTTTTTTGCTATCTCATTTCTATGTGTTTTCTTCTTCATTTCTTTGTCTAAATCTTTAGGCCTTGGCTAGAAAATTTTAAGCCTCCACTAATTTATGAGGTATTGACCTAATGGTTGTATAGGAGCTTACAAGAGGTTAGTGTTAATTGGTCTCAACTAAGCTTATTCGGTAGGTAGGGCTACCTATTTTCGCCTTTCCTATTCATCTTCTTTTCTTTTTGTTTGCTATTTTATTTGGGTGAAATATGATTCTGAGTTATTTGGTGAAATATGATTCTGAGTTAAACTAACAATAGATAATTATTTTTGTTTATCGCAAAAGGAGGGTAGTTATCTAATTTTTTTTTAAACTTAAACTATGCAATAATTTCTCTTTCTATGAAATTATGTTACCTATTTGAGCTAAGTAATTTCAGTGGACTAAAGGCTTAGATGACTCCTTGAATAAGGAATGATGATATCTAGAGTGTTTTTGAATTTAGAGTCTGATTTGTAGGATTAGTACTTTAGTACTTTAGTCTTTATTCTTTAGTTTAGGAATAATTTCCTAAAATAATAAAGTCATAATATTATTACTTTTGTTGATATGGAATCCTATGAACATTACTTTTATTTTTGCCTATTCCTGTTAAGTCTATTGTGAATTTTTTTTTAGTTTCTTTGGTGTTGTTGAATTATAGTCTTTTTTTTTTTTGATTTTGTAGTTGGTATGGAAAAATTATTGTTGAATTTTTTATATCCCCCTGAGAGTTTTGTTTTTATTAGCATACTGTTATTGAGATTAATAATTGATAATTTTTCATTATTTGTAGGTCAAATGAGTATGGTGGTGTCGTATTGATTTCTTAATCTTGAGAAGGTATAAATCTTTATCCCCTACAAATTGTCCCAATCATCAACAGTTTGAACGCACTCAAATTCGACTTATTTGGTTGAAATAAATAACTTATTCACTTACTTGAAATGTTTTGGTTTTTTGGATTTTGCAAAATTAAGAACTTTAACACTTTGCGCTTTAATAGGATCGTCGTTTAGGATTTACAACAAAAAATATGGCACTTTACAAGGAAAAATTTATAGTTGGTGTACATTATTGTCAGTCCCTTATGCTTCATAACTATTGTTAACGATTGTTGTAGCTCAATTTTTATAAGTACTCTTTTTTTTTTCTTAGCCTGCATTGTTAATAAAACAAAGTATTTTAATGTTGATATTTTTAGACTTTCTTGGCTTACAAGTATTTTCATGTGTTTTATTTTCACTGGCAGGTAGCTGACGTGCTTGATCACATCTGTTTTTAGTTGAAAATTTGGGCTATTAGGTATATAGTTTCAAATATATGAATTTTATGCTATTTCAGTTTACATTTTTTGCATTTTGATTAATAAAATTAGGTTTTCTCCATCTCTCTATTGTAATTTGTATTCAAGAGAATATTTATATTGATAATACTTTGTTGAGCATGTATGCAAAGTGTGGTGTGTTAAGGATGTGATTTAAATTTTCAGCTTATCGCAGTCATTTTCAGTGTTTAATTTAATTTCGAGTCTACAATCAATATTCGATTATTTTTTAAATTACACAATGCCTTTAGGTATGGGTCATCTGAACTCTATGAGTGTCCATGTTTATGAGGGCATGTGTGTGTATGTGTTTAAAGGATGTTTTAGATGGAGAAAGCTGAATTTGAGTTTTGAAGTGAGCATTCGATATCCATGCTAAATTATCTATTGACTTAAACTGTAATGAATTGGAGCTTATTTACATGACTTAGGAAGTGGCTTGATGTTTGAGTCTATCCTCAGTATCTTGTCATTTAGGTGGTTTATGGTTTAGAATTTTTGCTATTTGTTTACGAAAAATAATAGGCACTTATGGACAAATTAATACGAGAATTT